AGAACAATGTAAGCTGACACATGGAAACTAGCTCTATAGTTCTCTTCATCTCGTGTATGTATTTTTATATCTACTGAAAACAAAAAATACTGTGAAACTGCTGTCTTGGTTTCTATTTTATCCAGTTTCTTTTCTCATTTAATTTTTTTTTCTATATTATCTTTTTACATGGGTTGTATAACTCATCTTTCCAAATACATAGATACATATATGAAATTTTCTAACTGCCAAAAGAAAGCATACTTCTGTCCATACAGTCTAAAGGTGGGAATACACAAGTAGGAAATCGACTGATCGGTCATCCGACGACCGAGAGGCGTTTTTTCGTTGGCCGAAATTGTGGTCCACAGTAACCAATCTAAAAAAAATCGTTCGTCGGGCAATACATAGTGTTGACGTCTTCCGTACAAGTGGAAGTGATGCGGTGTGCGTGTGACCTTGTAGCCACGCCCTTCCGGCCAGAACGATCGATATACACAACAATTACCAGCAATAAGTATAATATAGTTTATTACATTATCTATATACATAAATAGTGATACATAAAATATAATCTGCAGAATTCTGGTTTCATTATCTCATTAGGCCAATCTACTTTTAACATTTGGATTTTTCATTCGTGTTTACGAAGATTCCTTGGACATAAACATCCGAGTTATCTTCTGTTTCCGCTCATGCGTGATAGTGCTTGATAGATTTTTTTTTTCATACAACCGTTATACCAACACATAGAAAATCGGTCGTTTATATGCGAAACGACAAAATTTTCACTGTTGTTCAACCAGATTTTTTCGTTCACAATATCATTATCGGTTAAAACATTCTACTCATCAACAAAGAGAAAATCGTTCGATCAGTGGTTCTGCGTAATGTTTTGTACGATTTTCTTATTCGATGTATGGGGCATTAGAATTTACACAGCTCTGTCACAACTTACATTTTCTTTGGTAGGGCAGGAGAAACTGATATTTCTCTGCAGATGGTCAGTAATGGCCCATTCACACTGCCGGCACACTAGACTAGAGTGGTTTAGTTTGTGGGCAGCTGTCTGTTTTGGGTACAGTGAGCTGTGGTGAAGGGGTGGTGTGATGCGCGTTTCAGACCATCACATAGTTCCCTTTTGTTTTCTTAACTTTGCTTGAAGTGAACAAAGTGACACTCCATTCACGCCAAGACAAGGCAGTGGTGCAATTCAATGGGCTGCACCTCTGGGCTGTGTTGCAGTGAGAATGGGACACATAAAAAACAACTGTTTTCTGCATGCCCTAGCACTGACTGGCTATCTTCCTATACAGAAAAATGCCAGTCGTGGCATGAATGGACACGTACACTTACAAATCTTGTTCCTCCCCAAGCCTGTAACTAGATAGTACAAGAACAATGTGAGCTCTTCCTTCTGTCACTTTGCTCTCTCCTCCTATCTGAATGCTTCTTATATTGCAATACTTTGTGTAGCTTTTCTTCTCCCAGACTGACATCTACTGTATCAGGCCAAAAGCAAAAACTGCTTGTAGTTAGTAAAACATGAATGATTACAAAGCTGCATTAATTTGTGTCTTTTATATGCGCCTGGAGTTCAGTTTTAGTGAGTTATACCACCCATTAGGTCCGTAATGCAAATCACGGTTTGCATTTTATTAGATGATGATATTTCAATATAAAAATGAAATTTATGGAAAAGAGTATATAACATATCAGTGTTCTTTTTTTCTCACCTTAACACCATTTAATTTCAAGAAGAAGCACTCCAGAGGTAAAATACCATCAGGGGTTTTTACATATTTCGGTTCACCAATCATGCCAATGTATACTGTGACTTGAAAGTGGTTCTTCTTCTGGCATACAAAGGCATCATCTCCCACCGAGAAGTTAAATCCTTTATCTGCATCCACTTTGTAGGTAGGCATTGGGCTGCAAGGTGCAAGTGTATGGAAGAGTCAGTGCCAAACCCTTAGTGCATTTTATTTACTTACATAGCACCATAAAAATACTGAGCTCAAAAGATACACAAGGATATTCTTCAGTTTACACTGTGGGGTAGATTTACTAAAACTGGAGCACTCAGAACCTGGTGCAGCTGTGCATGTAGCCAATCGGCTTATAATTTCAATTTGTTCAATAAGGCTGACCATACACTATACAATTTTCTGTCCAATTTCTTCCCAATTTCCTTTAGCTTTACCTTCAACTATGTAGTGCAAGAGCCTGCCTAATTGGATACAGTTGAAAGTGTTAGGTTTGACCTCCTATTATATGGTTTTTGGTAAATCTAAACCAAAAATCTCAAGAAAATTGTATAATGTATGGCCAGCCTTAGGCCCCTTTCACACAGACGTTCCGATCGGGTCCGCCTGCCCGTTTTTCAGGTGGACCTGATCAGAACCTCTATTCTCCTCTATAGGGTGGCGAGTATAAACAGACGTGTCCAACATCCAATCTGATCCACTAAAAAGAGACAGATGTGGATCCATTCACCTTCCGTCCATCTGATCGGATGGGATGGCAGTCGGATGGAAACAGATAGGCGGTCTGTTTCCATCTGGCCGCCTATAGAAGGCAGAGGGCTGTGTCTGTATCTGCTCTGTAGCAGCGGAACGGACACGGACCTGTCATCCGCTTGCTTAGAGGGGATCAATGGAGAGATCCCCTGCTGAGCAAGTGGATCCGCTGACGGGTCTGCCCTGGGTGAAAGGGGGCTAAAGCATTGGCAAAAAAACCTGCAAGCTGATTGGTTTCTATGCAGAGCTGCAACAGATTTTACACCATGCAGTTTTAGTAAATAACCGCGTGTTCCATATATTGTATGAATTTGGTGGGTCAGTGCTGCAGATGGTGTCTATAAAACATGAAGTGTGTATAATGCTATGTGACTCTACAATTTCCTATTTAAGTGTTCTTGCATGGCAGACCACTTACTGTTATCTCACATATATATTCTTATTATTATAGCCACATTTACCACCCTAACTCCTCCCACAGTTTTTACACTACATAGACAGTAATAAACCGAAACGTGCGGATTGTTCCCAATTGGTGTGCTATTACTTTGTGGAACGTTTCGCTGAATGGTTCACGAAACATCGGCGTTTTTGTGATGAAATTGCTCCCATAGGAATGAATGGCGGAATGTTCAAAACTAGAGTGGGAGCTGACAAAGCTAGAGTGGGAGCTGTAAAATCAGGACGTGATTTCTAAACTGCCATCACTCCCTCATTTTCAAGCCCACCTACACAAATCTTATTTCAAAACGTTCAGCTATCCCTGCTGCCACTAAAAATGTCCACGGCTAAGCCATAGTCCTGATATTTTTCACAATATGACCATTTGTTTGCAACTCACGCCGCCCATTGACATTCATTGAAACTCCACTCTAGCCACCTCAAATTTGAAGGGCAATTTCTAAACTGCGACTGTGCCTTCATTTTTAATATTTCAGAGACAAACTATGCATCAAAATGTAGGTTTGGGTCTTGTGATTCTCACAATATGAAGGTGGAGGCAAGAACACTTCACACAATTTGCCCAGAAATTGTAGCTTTTCTAGTTACTTACAGTTCTTTGTAGCTGCTGTCATACAGGGTCACCCATTTATTCTGTTGGTGTGGCTGCCATTTTATGGACTGATAGTTGGGATCCAAATAGGAACCATTCAGACTGTCATTGTCTTGCATGATACCTTCAAGAGTCAGAAAATGATCAGATTATTTCATATGAAACATAATCCCTAGAACCTCCCACCATGTCATTGTGTGGTATGTCATTTATGTCACTGCAATGCTGTTTGCTCTGCATCGGTTTATGCAGATATGCAGCTCCTGCCATTTCATCTCCCTAATGCTTGAGTTCAGTGCTACAACATTGGTATGTGGTTTATTTCCATGCTTCATTAGTGGAGATTTTGGCCAATATATGTAACTCATCCCCTCACCCAATAAATATGGCTGAGAATGCATGTTGTAACATGTTGACAGTGCACACCTTCACTAGATATATGTGTGTGGATGTATGTTTGTGTGCCAGTACCCGGCTCCTGTTTCACCATGCCTCCATTGGGTACTTGATCCCTCAAGTTTGGAGAGTCCGAGTGTTTCCTCTTCTTTGTTGGATGCACAGGGAGCCTGCAATACAAAATATGTATCCATAAAATATCAAAAAGAACAAAATGGTCAAACTACGTAATATTATGGAATTCCTTGGTGATGCCTCAGCCAGAATGGGCCGAAAGTATAAACGACTTATATTATTATTATACAGGATTTATATAGCGCCAACAGTTTGCTCAGCGCTTTACAATATAACGGGAGACAATACAACAACAATACAGTTCAATACAAGAGGGTTAGGAGGGCCTGATCCTGGGAGCTTACAATCTAATCTTATAGTGAACAGAACGATTAATTGTGATAGATAAAGATTAGAGATGAGCGAATTATTCAAAAATTCGATTCGGCTGATTCGCCGAATTTGCGGAAGAAATTCGATTCGATGCAAATTTATTCGCTGCGAATTTAACTTATTAAAAGGGTTTCTAGGCTTCAGAGAGCCTTTATATTAGTGCAGAACACTGTACCTTTAATTTAAATGCCCTTGGAGTCTGCTGGGGAAGAGAAATAATACTGTCAGTCAGTATGACATGCAGATGAGTGCCGTCGATCTTAGAATCACCGCACACTTCACTCATTTGGGCAGTCACGGGGCACGACGAAGAAGAAGAAGAATGAAAAAGAAGAAGAAGAAGAATGAAAAGAAGAAGAATGAAAAGAAGAATGAAAAGAAGAATGAAAAGAAGAAGAAGAATGAAAAGAAGAAGAAGAAGAATGAAAAGAAGAATGAAAAGAAGAATGAGAAGAATGAAAAGAAGAATGAAAAGAAGATGAAGAAGAATGAAAAGAAGAAGAAGAAGAATGAAAAGAAGAATGAAAAGAAGAAGAAGAAGAAAGAAAAGAAGAAGAAGAAGAATGAAAAGAAGAATGAAAAGAAGAAGAAGAAGAATGAAAAGAAGAAGAAGAATGAAAAGAAGAATGAAAAGAAGAAGAAGAATGAAAAGAAGAAGAAGAATGAAAAGAAGAAGAAGAAGAATGAAAAGAAGAATGAGAAGAAGAATGAGAAGAATGAAAAAGAAGAAGAAGAAGAATGAAAAGAAGAAGAAAGAATGAAAAGAAGAATGAAAAGAAGAAGAAGAAGAAGAAGAATGAAAAGAAGAAGAAGAAGAATGAAAAGAAGAATGAGAAGAAGAATGAGAAGAAGAATGAAAAGAAGAATGAAAAGAAGAAGAAGAAGAAGAATGAAAAGAAGAATGAAAAGAAAGAAGAAGAAGAAGAATGAAAAGAAGAAGAAGAATGAAAAGAAGAATGAGAAGAAGAATGAAAAGAAGAATGAGAAGAAGAATGAGAAGAAGAATGAGAAGAAGAATGAAAAGAAGAATGAAAAGAAGAATGAGAAGAATGAAAAGAAGAATGAAAAGAAGAAGAAGAAGAATGAAAAAGAAGAAGAAGAAGAATGAAAAGAAGAAGAAGAATGAAAAGAAGAAGAAGAATGAAAAGAAGAATGAAAAGAAGAAGAAGAAGAATGAAAAGAAGAAGAATGAAAAGAAGAAGAAGAAGAATGAAAAGAAGACGAAGAATGAAAAGAAGAAGAATTCCAGTACAGCAAAAAGTGTATCTGCAGAGAGCTCCGCTATTTCTGACAGTTCTCTGACAGTTCCTTCACATTTACAGTGGTTGAAACATTGTATCTATTTGTTTCCGAATGAAAACATCTGTATCCTAAATGGAAACAAATAGATACAATGTTTCAACCGCTGTAAATGTGAAGGAACTGTCAGAGAACTGTCAGAAATAGCGGAGCTCTCTGCAGGGACACTTTTTGCCAGCTGTAGAAGGGATGAAAATCGGCCGATCGGGAAAAATTCGATTCGTGCATCCGAAGTTTGCTAATATTCGGATTCGGTGCGAATCGAATTTTTCCTAATATTCGAAACGAATTCCACTTCGCCAAGTTCGATTCGCTCATCTCTAATAAAGATCATCTGGACTCCTTTATTGAGACCTGGACAGTGTGGACTGTCTCCCGGGACTCTACAAAATTTCTAGTTGCTTAAAATGTTCTCTGTGTGTTTCCTACACTCACTTATCTTAAAGAGAACCAATTAGAACTGGGCTTATGCAGAAATTAAAATATTTAGCCTTCATTATAAGGACTGTGGAGGGTTACTTGTGAAATGTTTCTATTTCCCAACTTATTTAAAGTCACTAAATCTTTCACATCAGTTGGAGTGTTTGGGGGTCAAAGGTCACCTGAAATCTGACAGCTGCTGCCTGACCACCTACTGTACACACTCAGATGGAAGAGAAGGGGGCTGATAAACTGAAGGAATAGAGAATGATCACTCTGCAAAGTGAATTTTAAAGTGTTACTAAACCCGCAACAATATAATCAGTCTGTATATGCAGTAAAGCATGCTTGTTATACTCACTGTGGAACCAAAGGAGTTAATCCTCTGCATTGTGTAAAAAGGCTGTTTGATCCTGTCCTCCCTGATTCTCCCCTTCTTCCACATTCCCCAATCTATCTGCTAATACAGCAGAGCCTTGAGCGCAAGCTGCACATGCTGTTTACTGTGTATTGCTAGAGAGTTTTTTTGTGATTTGGGAGAGTGCATGTGATCAGCACAGGGCCGATCAGTGCTGTCCAGACAGCAGGTCAGGGGTTATGCAGCCTCACAGGACAATCAGGGGAGAATGAAAACTCCTCTTAGAAGCTTTAACCAGTGCTCTGTTGGACACTGATAGAAGTCACAAGACTGCTGATGAGAAAAGGTATTTAGCAGTTTATATTTACTAAACTAATTGCATTTCCATGTTCTGTGTACTGTGGGAGACCAGATATAGTGAATGCAGGGTCCGGGGCTTAGTAACACTTTAACTTAGCTTGAAGCGGTGTTAAACTCAAAATCAAAAATGCATTATACTGCAGCTTACCAGTCATTAGATGTGGTGGCTGCATTGGTTTTCTTTTCCTAGGCTTTTTTCTTTGTTTTCACCTGGTGATCTGGCCAGTGACACACCTCCTGAATTCTTCCTTTTGGAAGAAGGAGCACAGGGGCCATTTAGACAGCAGCACTGTCAGTATGGGGGGAGGACAGTGTAGCAGTCTGGCAGATTTAAATACACTAACATACTGAAGCCAAACTCCAGCTAACACATTTTAAGGATTTACAGCAACAGTTCTGTTCCTTTTGGTAAATAAGGTTTTACATAAATAAAAGCCAATCATTGTAAGCATCCCTGTCAGTAGTAAATGGTTTGTCTCAACATCCTTAACTGCTACATCTGCAGGACAGCTTGTTCTGTTGAAAAACAACAGTCTTACTGGCCAAATCACCAGGTGAACATAAAGGAAAGAAAGGCCAAAATAGAAAACTAATGCAGCCATCACATATAAGAATTGGAAAGTTGCAATATAAATATTTACTTTAGGGTTTATTACCACTTTAATAAATACATTTCAGCTGTGTTTACTTCAATTAATGAATCAAATCTTGTCTTTTTTAATTCCCATCACACATGATTTGGTATTTAAAGTGAACTGGTCAACATTATTTGCTATCATTCACTTCGCAAAGTTTGCATATATTTGCTTTACTAAATGAACAGCCTCTACTCGCTTATTTATTCAACCCCAGTGTATGAGATAAGGCACTGTCAGACTTCAACTGACATCTGACCTTCAAACTGCCTCAGTAATGGTAGCTCCCTTTTTTCTATCCTGACAGGTTCCTTTAAGGGCCACTTCACACCACAAAAATGCATTCTGGACACATTTGTTCTTATAGTTCACACCACATGCAGTTCTGATGCAGTTTTGATGCAGTTTGCCATGTTCCAGTATGGTTCTGTGCAGAAAAAATGCAGCATGTTCTACTTTTTTTCTGCACCTGGAACTATTGGAATACATGGAAAACTCTGTGCATGCATTTGTGATGCAGAAAAAAAGCTCACTGAACTGCATCTAGTGTGAACTAGCCCTAAGGGCTGGTTCACACTATAGAAACTCCCTTCTGGATGCATTTTTGCATGCACGCTTTTGATGTGTTTTTAGCGCGTTCTGGTGCATTTTTTATGTGTTCCAGTGCGTTTTTTATGCATTCCAGTTAATTTTTCCCCCTCTCTTTTTCTTCAATTTAAATATGGACATGTGCATTCCAGTGCATTTTTGGTGCATTTCAGTACAGTTCTGTGCAGAAAAAATGCAGCCTGTTCTACGTTTTCTGCAATCGGAACGCAGTGGAACTGCAAGCAATGATGTGAACTATAAAATTGACAACCATATAACCTACTTTCTGTGCGTTTTTGAATGTGAATTGAATGACATGCTCTGTCTTTGCCTGGGGAATACCTACTCTGAGCTATGCTGCTGCTGCAGGAGCTGATGAAGCATCTGAGACTGCTGTGCATGGTGAAGGTCTGCAGGGGGCAGTCCAGGTCCAAGGGGAGGGTATTGTGGCATCATTGACTCCACTTTCAGGTAGAGTTCCCGTTGCATGCTAGGATAGTGTTGCTGGTGAGCGGGGTGAGGAGGGGGCTGGCCTTGTAGGTGAGGCGGTGGGGGGTGTTCCAGGCGGGAAGGTGGGGTAATGTGACAGATGTTTTCTGGGGTCATAGTGCGAAGCAGATGAGGGTCTGTAAATGAAGAAGACACACAATGAGAAACAATGATAAATATGAGCATCTCTCTTTTAAAAAACCCTAACAAGGAATTTATTTTACTTGCTTCCTTTTGGTCCAATAAATAAACCAGTTAATGCATTTTGTTAAATCTGTTCTGTAAGTGCAAAAAAATACTAATTGAACCTGCTAACCTCCTGTGCTCTCTGCCCATGCTACACTTTTATCAGTTACATTGTTCCCAGCTATCAGTGAGGACTGCAGAAGCCCTTTTCTTTTCTAGAGAAGAGGAGACGGGGAGATGGTCCTGTTCTAGGCTGACAACAAGGTTTCTCCATAGATGCAGTATAGCAAGGCCTCTTTCACACAGGTGGTCAGGGGGCAGTAAAAACAAGTGCCCACTAAAAGCCTGCAATACAGTTGGAGCTGTTCACATAGCAAATTTAAAGTGGCATGTCAAGCCCCATTCAAATCAATAGGGTCCTAATCATGAGCCTTGGCTTGCAGCTGCGGTACATTAGTCTCATTAAAAAATAAAAAGTTCAGTAGGTGGCAGGACCTGATAGTCCCTGCTTTACCACACTCTGAAAGGTTATCCACTGTGAATCACTTTTCAGAGAATTAATACATGTGAATTCAGCCTAAGTGAGCATTGTCACCAAGGGACAGGAAATGTGTTAGGCTCCCTTCATACTTGTAGTGGTGTCCACCCCCACCCCCTTAAAAAGCAATCTGCAGCATATCGCTTTTTAAAGGAAAGTGAAAGGGGGTTTGCAGAGGTTCAGGAGGCAACGCTGTCACCGCCTGATGCCTGTTTTTTTTTTTGTGTATCTTTTTTTTTTTTTGTCCAATAATTTTTATTTATTTAGCTGTTACATAAAGGCACAGTAGTACAAGGAGCACCTAGTCCGCCCACACAGGGGCTATGACTGGCACCATCAGGTAAAACAAGAGTGCACAAAGACCATAAGGGAGGAGGAACATCCTCCACCAACAGCCATATTACATACAATCCATAACAAGTGAACCCATCAGGAAATCTTCTGTGGGCTTCAAATGTAGCTTGTGTCTTTTTTTTTTTTTTTTTATCAATGAATTTTGCAGCACAGCACCACAACTGTGACACAAGTGTTTGGCTTGTGGTTCCGGTGCGGTCCCCAGTCACTTACATGGGAGAGTTTGACAGGTGGTGCAGCATTGCATGGCAGCTGTGACAATGCGTACCATGCAAGTAGCACCATGTCTGTTTGTAAGTGGGTGGTAAAAACGTGGATCAACTGCCTACATTCACCAGTCCCTGACCGTCTGTGTGAAAGGAGCCTTTCTAGCAGGATCACAGGTAAAATTGGGGAAAAATGCAGCCACCACGTCTTATGACTGGCAACCTGCAATATATTCAAATGTTTTTTCTCTTGGGTGTTGATATTCTAATCAAGGTGGGTAAGTGGTTAGCACTTCTGCCTGGCAGCACTATGGTTATTGCTTCGAATCCTAACCATGGCACCACCTGCCTGGTGTCTGCATATTCTCTCTGTGCCGATGTTGGCTTCCTCCCACACTCCAAAGACATGATGGTAGGTTAACCACTTACCCTCCAGAGGATTTACCCCCCTTCCTGACCAGGCCAGTTTTTGCGTTACAGCGCTCTGGTACTTTAACTGACATTTGCACGGTCATGCAACACTGCACCAAAATCAAATTTATGTCCTTTTCCCTACAAGTAGATCTTTCTTTCTGTGGTATTTAATTGCCTGTGCGTTTTTTATTTTTTGCGCAATAAACAAAAAAAGACCGACAATTTTGAGAAAATAACAATATTTTTTACTTTTTGCTATTAAACATATCCACTAAAAAAATTTAAAAATCTAACATGTCAAAATGTACTCTGCTACATGTCTTTGCTAAAAAAAATCCCTATACTTGAAAATGAATTGGTTTTTGTGAAAGTTATAGCATTTACAAATGGAGGTAGAGATACTTTTTTTTAATTTTTTTTTTTTTTACTAGTAATGACTGCGATCAGCGACTTATAGCGGGACTGCAGCCGGCATTCTGACACTGGGGGGAACTGACTTGGTGTCACTGACATCCCCAGTGACACCAATACAGTGGTCATTGCTAATAAAAAGCACTGAGACTGTACTAATGGCACTGGGCAGGAAGGGGTTAACATGTGGGGTGATCAAAGGGTTAACTGTGTGCTGTTTCACTATGTTGGCTGTGTGTGTGCTTCACTGTAAGCACACTGCTTTGTATGGTTCTGTTATGCACAGCCATACAAAGCAGTGTGCAGGAGCTGACAGGGGAGAGATCTGTGTTGTTTATACACTCCCTCGTCAGAGATACTCAGCGATCACCGGGTGCTAGCGAGTAATCACCGACCGAGTAATTGACAGTCAATGGCGGCGTGTGTAGGAACTGCCCCTACCCGGAACTGCCTATATATATGTGATTTTGCGCACCCATGCCACCTTGTAGCAGTATATCTGCTGTAGGGCGGCGCGGAACCGGTTAATTGGCTCCTGTCTAAATTGGCCCTAGTGTTTGTATGTATGCATGTGAGTTAGGGACCTTAGATTGTACTCCCCTTGAGGACAGGGACTGATGTGAATGTACAATATATACTCTATGTAAAGCACTGTGAAAATTGAAGGTGCTACTGTATATAAGTACCTGTAATAAATAATGAAGCTGAAATTAAAAAAAACATTATTTTCCACATAAATGACTGCAAGCTGTATTTGACACAACAGGTTTGCACAAAGCGCTTTGGCGGAGCTACAAAAACAAATGTAACTCTGAGGCGATTCTCCATGTAGTGTCGGTGAAGTGCAATTTGTGTATAACACAAGAAGTGTCAATAAACAATCAAGCATAGAGATTTATAGTATAAAATTTACAGAGCTGGCTAATAGGTGAGAAGAGAACTGCTACTGAGCTGCACACATTGCATAAATATTCAGCTTGGAGGAACGCCAAATTAACGGCAAACCCACACAAATCTACCTGTGCCATTTTATAGGGATGAAAGCTGTTGTATGCTAACAATGGTCACTCTAAGCCAGGCATGTCCAAAGTCCGGCCCGCGGGTCATTTACGGCCCGGGGTCGGTTTAATATGGCCCTCCAACAGCCCTCCCTGCTCTGTGTAATGTGGCCCTCCCACGGCCCTCCCTTCTATGGCAGACAGTTTTCTGCTTGAAAGCAGAGGGCAGTGCGCATGCCTGACTGCGGCGCGTTCTCCCTGGTCTGTGTAAATGCGGCTGTCGCACGGCCCTCCCTTCTGTGGCAGACAGTCTTCTGCTTGAGAGCAGAGGGCAGTGCGCATGCCTGACTGCGGCGCGTTCTCCCTGGTCTGTGTAAATGCGGCTGTCGCACGGCCCTCCCTTCTGTGGCAGACAGTCTTCTGCTTGAGAGCAGTGCGCATGCGTGACTGCGCCGCGCTGGGAGCGACAGAGGGCGGTGACGCCAGGGCCGGGCTTCCAGCGTGAAGTGTGTTTCTCTTCCCCTCCTGGCTGCCGAGCAGAGACTTCAGCTCCAGCTACCTTTTTCACCCTTCACATTAGTGCAGGTAAGTTTTTTTTAAATTTATTTTCAATACATTGTGAAAACTCAGCTGTCAGTTGATCTTAATGTTATGAAATGAAAAGTATGTCGTTTGCAATTAACTTGGCATAAAATAATTTATTTGCATTTAATTGTAATGGTTCAAAGAATGTTCGGAAAAATGTTCGGCCCTCCACCATGTTCACTTCATCCAATCTGGCCCTCTTTGAAAAAAGTTTGGACACCCCTGCTCTAAGCAATCTGGGACAGACAGGCTTATTTTTCATCCATTTTAATGAGAGATCTCCTCCTGGGGATGATTTCCATGTAGAAGAACCTATCACAACAATGCTAGCCATAGACATGACATGAGAGCTAGTAGGTTGAGGCATAAACATGTATGATCATGTTGGCTGAGTGTGCATGTTATTGCACTCAGCAGACAAGCCATGATGTCAACTGTATCTTTGGGGAATAAGAGCAAACTTGAAATCAAATTAGCATTTTAGATGATCAACGTTTTCCATAGATCAGCTGGTCAGGGAACAACGGCCATCATCACAGTACATTGCCAAACGTATTGGGCCAGCCCTCCAAATCATTGGATTCAGGTGTTCCAATCACCTCCATGGCCACAGGTGTATAAAATAAACACTTAGTCATGCAGGCTGCTTCTACAAACATTTGTGAAAGAATGGGTCGCTCCCGGGAGCTCAATTCAAGCGTGGTACCGGGATAGGTTGCCACCTGTGCAATAAGTCCATCGGTGACATTTCCTTGCTATTAAATATTCCGCGGTCAACTGTTAGTGGTGTTATAACAAAGTGGAAGCAACTGGGAACAATAGCAACTCAGCCACGAAGTAGTAGGCCATGTAAAATGACAGAGCGGGGTCAGCACATGCTGATGCACACAGTGCGCCAACTGTCTGTTAATAGCTAAAGACCTCCAAACTTTGTGTGGCCTTCAGAACAGCACAACAGCTACTGCATCCAAGCCTTACATCATCAAGTGCAATGCAAAGCGTCGGATGCAGTGGTGTAAAGCACGCCACCACTGTACTCAAGAGCAGTGGAGACATGTTATTTGGGGTGATGAATCACTATTCTCTGTCTGGCAATCCAATGGATATGTCTGGGTTTGGTGGTTGCCAGGAGAACAGTACTTGCCTGACTGCATTGTGCCAAGTGTAAAGTTTGATGGAGGGGGGATTATGGTGTGGGGTTGTTTTTCAGGGGTTGGACTTAGCCCCTTAGTTCCAGTGAAGGGAACTCTTAAGGCGTCAGCATACCAAGACATTTTGGACAATTTCATGCTCCCAATTTTGTGGGAACAGTTTGGGGATGGCCCCTTCCTTTTCCAACATGACCTCAAGCAAGGTCCATAAAGACATGGATGAGCGAGTTTGGGGTGGAGGAACTTGACTGGCCTGACAGAGTCCTGACCTCAAGCCGATAGAACATTTTGGGAGAAAGGAGACTGCAAGCCAGGCCTTCTCATCCGACATCAGGGCCTGACCTCACAAATGCACTTCTGGAAGAATGGTCAAACATTCCCATAGACACCCTCCTACACCTTATGGACAGCCTTCCCAGAAGAGATGAAGCGGTTATAGCTGCAAAGGGTGGGCCAACTCAATATTGAACTGTACGGACTAAGACTGGGATGCCATTAAAGTTCATGTGCATGCAAAGGTAGGAGTCCCAATACTTTTGGCAATATAGTGTATGTGCAACCATTTCCTGATCGGACTGCCATTCACCCAATCCGGTGGCAGATGGCCAAGGGCAGCTTCCTACTGTTTATCTCCTGGCATTAAAAAAGGCAAAACTTTTTTTTTTGAGTTTGGATAGAGTCTCCTGTTAGGGTAAGTTGCTATCTGTGTCCCAGTTAGGGATGTTTACACTCTCTATTTGTCCTGGTGACCGATATTACCGAGAGTGAAAGTGAAAGAAAATCCCAAATTTTGAGTGGCCACCAGAACAAGAATGGAGGGGAAATTTCCAATTAAGAAACTAGTTCTGGCCAGCTAATATATTGATTGTTTAATGTGTATTATATTACCTATGTATGTATATGTATTTTATATGTATGTTTTTCTATTTGTAGAGATGTTATGATTATCTGTCGCAGTTGAGTTTAACAATCTGAACAAGCGGTTGTTACTGTGAAACACGTAATCATCATAAACAACAAGTGTAACTCTATACTGTGATCAGTTTTTTATTTTTATTAGATGAACTGTGTTTTTAATGTATGTTCAATTAAAAAAAAAAAAAAATAATAATTTGCAAAATTTTTTTAATAGAATCATGTTTGTAGAGTTGATTTTTCTACATACATATATTAGTGGGTCACCCTTAAATACCCTTTTTTTGTGTTTTTCTCAACTAGTGCTTGTGACAACCTCCCTTAATTTGAAGGGTTTTCCTCTCATTTGGCTATGGGATAGGAAGTAAAGGGAAATCTCCCCAATGGGACACAGACGGCCTTCAGTTCTACTTTAATGTAGTGTCAGCCTAGAGAAATTATGTGATGAAATCTTAAAAAGTTTAATTTCATGTTTTAATTCTTACATATAGCTAAGTACAGCAAACAATACTTGTGTCACACTGCCCGATTTAGTGAAAAGTCAAGCTGACCTTGCTGCTTTCATAACCCTACAGAAATCAACAGATTATGAGACGAAGTAAATGGTGTGATGGGCACTGTCCACAGCTCTTTACGGGAGAAAGAAAACCTGCCAAACAAGGTCATCAACCTGGCTTGTTTAATACTTTAAAGTATATCTAAAGCCAAAACTTTTTTTTAAGCAAGGAAATTGTTAAATCCCTGCCAGATTTGATTTGCCATATGTGTCCCATCAGGGAGATTTCCCTTCACTTCCTGTCTTGTAGATGGAAGAAGCAAGAGGAAATACCTCCAAATGAAGAAAATCCCTTCTTGGACAGTTGTCACTATTTAGGGGAAGCTTTCCCATTCACACAGTCAATTTGGGTTTTATGCCACCAAGAATCAGATCACAGGTGTCTGCAATCAGCCACAGCCAGCAGCCTGTACATATCAATGTAGGGTGGACAGGCACCGTGGCTGTCCTCAACTGTGTGCATATAAGTATACATCGAACAGTAACATGCATTTAGGGACAGATGAGCGACCCTGGATGAGAACTGAAGCATATTTCATCATGGCTCTTCTTCCAAATGTTTATTAAAGTGATCACATCGCACTGTCAAAGGTGCAACATTCTGAGGCCTCGCAGGCCCCTTCATCAGGCTTGTGACATCACGAATCTAAGCCTTTCGAATCACATCTAATCCACATCAGTGTGAACCAGGACTAATAAACGTTGGGATGGTATTTTGAAGATATATATTCTTCATCTTGTGATGACACCAGTTTCCAGCTGGTAGTTGCTACTCTACCCACTTACTCCTTGACATTTTGAGTAATGTATGCGGCAGGAATATTATAAGTGACCTGGATGTGAACTGTCTGTGCATGTAACGGAACCTCCGGGCAATGCCATGCAAACAGCCAGGGTGCCTGTAAATCTAGGTCCACACTATGAATCACTAAGGAATGTGCACCGCATTCCTGTGTGATTCACATGTGATTCAGTGTGGTGCTATTTGAGCCCTTTAATTTTGAATAGGCTCAGTTCTCAATGCATAGTACCAAAGTACTGCAGCCAGATTGCATGGTAGTTGTGTACCATAGTTGATCCAGGGAATATTCGATTGCCTCTCGGGGGATTAGGAAGGAATTTTTTCCCTATGCAGGAGCAAATTGGATCATGCTTTTCTGGGTTGTTTTGCCTTCCTCTGGATCAACTGTGGGTATAGGATTATCTTTTTTTTTTTTAATGGTTAAACTGGATGGACTTTTGTCTTTTTTCAGCCAGACTATCTATGTAACTATATAACTATGAGATCCAGTACAGGCACTGTGTTTGTGACCTGTGTTTTGGGTGTTGTTAACTTTGCCTTGACACCCACTGTAGATCACAAGGGCAGTGCAATTGGAATGAGTTGTGGGAAACATGCACAGATCCTGGGTTTCTTGCATTGTGTTCTAGTGTGAACTGAGGCTAAAACTGATCGCCACAGATTTACATTGATCCTTGGTGGTGTAGGGCCCAAAACCAGCTGTGTGAATGGGGCTCTGTACTTGTTCTGGTGACAACTCAAACTTTTGCATTTTTCCTCGCTTGAAGTTCCTGAGACAATGGACAGAACACAGAGGTGGTGAAACCAGTGGCAACACAGCAATACAAAAAAAAAACAAAAAACTTCCTTGCTCCATCCAAAACAAAAAAGTCATTAAATACGTGTTAAATATGAAAAATACAATAACCCACATCAACCATTTTACAGACACCTTTCATTGCAATGACTGCACTAAACCGAAGAAAAGTAAAATGAGTTTGGTTATTATGGGTTACTATGCCCCTAGGTAAATACAGCCAATAAAATGATAAAATATCAGTACTAGATCACTCACACCACATACAACAAAGCAGTTTCATAATAAAACTATTTTTAAACGAGTATTCTAATGTTTATAATATGAATAGTAATATGCTTACTGAATCACTTTAGCCTTCCTAATATATGAAACTTTTAAAAACATGTAAACTATAAAACAAGAACAACATCTATATAAAACAGAAAATACACAGAGTAGGCTACAACTCTGCACTAGTGCTGAGATTCTATTCCAAAGACGGAATGTGTGTGGGGCCAGAGACACCTCTCTTGATAAATTTAGGGAGGGCAGCTAAAGAATTCCAGACATTTCTTAGCTGTGATAAACAAAGATCATAGCTCTAATATACTGGACACATTCTACGGTTCTGTATACTCCACCCTAAACAGTCTCACCTGTCATTGTGTACACCTGTCCTGTAACCTGCCACATAGGGACGCTCCCACCTGTCAAACCCACAGTATGGCCAGCCTTTTATAAATAAAGAGAACATACAAACACAAGTTATGACCTTACTTCCCTCTGATCTGAAAAGGACGTAAACACAGGATGGCTCTGCAAACCCCATCAGAAAATAAGCTGACCCCACCACCAATACCACCACCACCCCCAATTTGTTGTTGATGACCACTTTCTTGTGTCTACACCACTCCATGAAATCAGATCAGGGTGCAGTATCATTCTTGCTTCTTCTGGCCCCCACTCCATAAAATCAGATCAGGGTGCAGTATCATTCTTGCTTCTTCTGGCCCCCACTCCATAAAATCAGATCAGGGTGCAGTATCATTCTTGCTTCTTCTGGCCCCCACTCCATAAAATCAGATCAGGGTCCAGTATCATTCTTGCTTCTTCTGGCCCCCACTCCATAAAATCAGATCAGGGTCCAGTACCATTCTTTCTTCTTCTGGCCCCCAAAGACTTTGGGAACCTCCTTACCTTTAGTTCTCTGTAATCAATCCTCCTGGACCCCGGATTCTACAATTCTGTCTCTATGCATGGTACTCCTGTTCCATACATTCCTCAACATTCTGAATTGTAATGTTTCTCTCCTATTCTTCATCCATTGTTTCTTCCTGTGCATGCCTTGGAAGTTGTTCTCCATGCTCTCATTCTCTGGATCTCCTCTGGGTCTCCTTGTGCCTCATGCAATCACTGCTCTAGCAATTCTACACATAACTGGAGAGCTGGTGTATTTACTCACTGGTTATCTCTCATGAATTTCTTACCTTCTCTCTTCCCTGACCGATAACACCAACTGGATAAAACCACGTCTGCTAAAGGGGGGGGGGAGAGAATACCTAACAGGCACTTACCATTGAGCTGCTGGGGGGAGTACGCCTCTGATCCAGAGTCCGGGGGAGAGTCAGGTAAAGTGCTGAGGAGGAGGAGGAAGAAGAACAATTTATTTCTGCACACTGTGACTTCAAGAATTGTTCATACATTCTTACTTACTAAAGTCTATAAAGCTATGTAACAAAACACCAGCTGTATATAGTATTTTAGATTGGGTTTCCTTACATGTTACAGAATACACCTGCTCTTTTAAAGCAGAACCAAAGGCAAAACTATTTTTTAGCTTTGGATAGAGTGCAGAGGGATTAGCGCATCTGTCAGGTTTTTACTGCTGCCTCTGTCCCTTTAGGCAGATTCTCTTCCTATTTGGGCCCATGAACACGTTTCGTAAAGATCAGTAAAACTGTGCTCCATTCAGATCCGCAAAAGCAACAATCTACATCTGGGATCAGTAATGTACATGTACACACATGAAAATGCACGTATGTATTTATATACATAATTCAAACCTTAGCTTGGGGTAGAAATTAATATAGCTGTAAAAACACATTTAAAAGCATTTTTTGGTTATGGATCAGAATGAAGTTGCATTGTTTTCAATGGAAACATTCACACAGGTGCCTAGGCATGTGGTGTGTTCAGATCCATAAACAAAAATTTGAGGACATGTGATTTACATGCTTATTGGCATAAAAAAAAAAAAAAACGAGGACACTATTTCACATTTAAATTTGGATCTAAAAGCAGTTATTTACTGATCATTGATGCAGCCATTTTTATTCCAGAAAAATCTTGCATAAATGATCAATAAAATTGTTATGGCCGTTACCCGTATAAACGCATGTACATGTTTATGCATCTGTGTGCGAATAAACACATGCACTTTAAGGACCATGCTTGCTTTTTTTTTATGAAGGATCTTTCTGCCAACAATAATTATGCCAGAATAATTTTATTATGGCCGTGTGCATCAAGCCTAAGCCCTGTTCAAGAGAGAAAGTAAAAGAAAGTCCAAATTTTTGGTTCTCATCAAAACAGGAGAAGAGGGGAAAATCTTCCAATGGGGACACTAGATTTGGTGATCCTGGTGACCATCAGGGATTTTCTCTTGCTTCCTGGTTTGACTATGGAACAGGAAGTGAAGGGAAATATCTCCAATGGGACAAAAAAACTGCTCGGTTCACATCATGCGTTTTTAGTGGTTTTTAGATATGTTACCATTGAAATCTGTATAATGTACATTTTGAAGAAAACATATCACAGATGCAACAAGCGGGATTTTTTTTTTAAACATACCAAACCTAAAACGCCCAGGTGTGAACAGGGCATTACTCATTCCACAATAAAAAAAAAAATAAAAAACAGTTTGGCCTTCTGTTCTACTTTGAGTACAAATTCACCTTTCTAAGATTTTCCTCCAATGTTTGCAGAATGTTACAAATATTCTGATTTATATTTAAAGCAGGACTTAACCTAGGCCATTCCAGCAACCTTTTCTCTTTTTGTCCTCTTACAAAAAAGTAGTATTGATTGCATAGTTTAGTACCTTTTTGTGCTGCAAGACAACACTTCCTGCATTCTGGCCTAGGCTATGCACCGTTGTCTCGTATGTTACCAAGGAAGAATGGACATTGCAAGATTCATCGTATGCACAGACTCACCACCGCCCATGGAATGTCTGTGTCTGAGCAAAGCAATTCTGTGCATGCATACAAATGTTGTGGAGGCTACAGTGTCCATATGCAAGAAAATGGTAACATTTGTGTGCATGTGCAGAAATTTCCAGCATGTGCACAGATTCCCAAATACCTGGCAGAGCCATGCAGTGCATCTGCACATGCACCAGATTTTTGAAGATAGGGGTGCAGAAGAGGGATGGGGGGAGGGGACCAATGCAGCGATGAAGTTCATTCATCTTATTTCCCTCATTTATTTCCTGCAGGAACTTCACATTTGGCGGCTGCCATGGGTAACCTTTTTTATATTACATGATGCATAAACCTAAAGCTCATTTCCAGGGGAGACAATCAATGCTCCCTTTGCATTGGGGCTGCCTCCACACTGCAAGGATTTAATACTCGCTTATGTCTAGGGTACTAGAAAAATAACTTTTTCTTACCTGATCCTCCATTTCTGCAGGCTTCCTCCAGGCTGTATGACCACTCATAGCCCTGCAATGGACGCAATAGATCCGAGAGACAGTCCACTGCTGGAGTGTAAGATAGAACAGGAGGGGTCTGGCTACCCAGGGCAAGTAAAACTGCTTTTTTTGATACCCTAGACCAGTGGTCTCAAAATTGCGGCCTGAGGGACAGATGTGGCCCTTTGCTTGCTTTTATCTGGCCCTTGGGGCACTATTTCATCCACTAATACCAACAATGGGGCATAATTCCCCCCACTGACACCAATGATTGGGCACAATTCCTCCCAATGACACCAATGATGGGGCACAATTTCTCCCAATGACACCGATGATGGGGCCCACTGACACCATTGATGGAGCATAATTCCCCCTACTGGCACAAATGATGGGACGCTATTCCCCCATATGACACCAATGATGGGGCACAGTTCCTCCCAATGTTGCCAACGATGGGTCACAATTTCTCTCAATGACACCAACAATGGGGCCAATGACACTGCTGATGGAGCACAATTCCTCTCACTGACACCAACAAGTTGGCACAATTCCTCCCACTAACACCAAAGATGGGGCATTGTTTTTGCTCAATTGGCATATGGACCTTTTCTACTCTCAAAATGTCACAGTCCGGCCCTCCTAAAGTCTGAAGGACAGTAAACTGGCCCTTTGTCTAGAAAGTTTGGAGACCCCTGCCCTAGACCTAAATGAGCATTTAACCCTCGCAGTATGGTGGGCTTTTTTGTATTTGACCTTAATACGTTTTTGAGGTTCATGGTTGGTGTGCTAGCTATTCCTTGAAATCAAGATTTAAATGGTATTTGTGCCCATAAGGGATATTTCCCTCAATTCCTGTCTTGGTGACACATCACCAGGACAGGAAGTTAACTGAAAACTCCCGAGTGGGGACACAAACAATAGTAAACACTCAAAAGAGGTTCTTTACCTGAAGTTGGATTTACTATAACAGCCAGTCATGAACAGTCTGTTATAATGCTGGTCACATAAACGCAGTACGAACAGTACAGACAGCCACCAGCACTATATGACAGACAGCAATTAGTGCCTGCACACACCTTTAACCCCTACCCGCCACCTCCCAGCCCTTTAAGAGCTGGGAGGTGGAGGAGGGCATTCCAGTGATAGGCAGTCACATGATAGGAAAGCTCCCAATTGCATGTATGCATTGGGGGTTTTCCCGTACCCGCCAGTTACTGTCCTGGGAGTGTGCAGGGAGCGTGCTCTCAGTACAATAGACCACAGGGGCGAACTGACCATTTGGAAACTCGGGCACTGCCCGAGGGCCCGGGGTCGTTAGGGGGCCTCATGAGATGCCCCTGGTACCTTTCTCATAGGCTTTTTTGAGTTTGGGCAAGGACACAGGGGCCCCATGATCCCCTATTGCCCGGGGGCCCCATGAGTTGTCAGTCCGCCCCTGGTAGGCCACATATCTGTATACGGCCAGCGGGAACTGGTTAAGTTAGGCATCCACTAGTAGAATTCTGAACAAACATTTGTACAAACATTCTTAGAAAATATGTATGCAAATTCTCAGTACATTTGAATGTCCTTTGAAAGTAGTTCAAGATTTTGTTTGCTTTTAACACTTGACTTTGGAATGAATGGACATTACTGAACTAAAACCACATTCACTAGTAGAAATTTCGAACATTCGAGAAATTCTCTATCCTGCTCCTTCAAATTTTCTAATCACTGCAGTCAAGAACAAACATTGATTTGACCCCAGTAAGGATTTTTAAAAAATTACCAATTTTTTTACAACATTCCTACAGTGAAAAATGTAGAACAAAATTCTGCTAGTTTTAGGTGCACTCATCTCCAGTCCATCGCTGGAAATCCCGGCTTTAACCAGAAACACCTCCTGGTAGCATTGTGCTGGCCATGCCCCACTATCACTACAATGCTCCCATCTGATCAATCCTCCAAACACATAGAAAGTTAAAATAATCAAATAATATGGGATAAATCAGCCATGCCACCTTACCATAAAATCTGACCCTATCTTTGAATGTCTGAGGTGGGGAAGAGGAACAGTGACGTCATGATCTTCACCTTGACTAATCATAAAATGCCTTGTATTCGTTGAAAAGGTGTTCCATGAATGGCGATGAGCAACACCCTGTGGTCAGTGTGTAGAGGAAGATTGCAGATACCACTGTAGTAGTGCCGATCACTACATCAATTTCCAGTTTCCCCAGCAGGGATGTGATATGCATACTTACACTGTGCCAAGCTGGACCAATGTAACTATGCAATACAGAGCATACCTGGAGTTCAGCTTTAGGCTGCTTTCACACTGAGGAGTTTTTCAAGTGCTTTTGAGTTAAAAAAAAGCGCCTGAAAAGCTCAAGAAAACTGCTTCCCTATGTATGTGAATGTATATCTATGTATGCTTTCACACTGAGGTGTTGCGCTGGCGGTGTGGTGTAAAAACTCCTGCTTGCAGCATATTTGGGGCATGTTTAGTGAGTTATAAAAAAGCCCCAAAAAAAACGCCTCTTCCCTTTTGAAATCAATGGAAAAATCTGAAAAGCACCTCAAAAACGCCTCTGAGAAGCATTTTTGGTGCAGTCATGTGTCCTTTAAAAAAAGCTCAGAAAGCGTGGTAAAAACGCCTATGCATTTTTGCTTTGTTTTTGCGGCGGATCAATGTAAAAGTAGCCTTAACCTCCATCCTCCCAGGTCTGTTTGGACTCTGCAAGGAAGCTCTGTATAAGTTGTGACTTTCAACTTTCATGTTACACAGAACTTGAGGACTCTCTCCTCCACCACAGGTGATATGTGACAGCAGTGGGATGCCAGACCCACCATTCCACAAGCTCCAGCTCTTTCCCAAAATCCTTCTTATCAACTACTACTCTAACTTACCCGGCTGCATAGCTGGTTTTGGGTTCTGCTTTGATGGGAAGACCTGGTCCAC